GGCCACCCTCCGGGAACTTTCACATATTCAGCTATTCAGAAACCCTCAGAACTCTGTCCTTTAGGTTTTTATAAGAAGCTTTATTATATCATGATTGATTACATCATTGGCCATTGCTTTGTCAACTCAGCCTTCAGCCCTTCTCCCTTTTCATGCTGATTGAGTCAGGTGTAGGACTAAAAGTTCCAATTCTCTGATCACATGGTTGGTCCCACACTGAGGCTAAGAGTTTCCAGCCTCCTGTCAACTCATTAGCACACAAAAGACACTCTTCCCATTCTGGAGTTTCCAAGGATTTTAGGACTTTCAAGTCAGGAATGGGGTACAGACTGTGTAGTCAGCTTTATTCACTGCTGTGACTAAAATGACCCAACCAGAACAACTGTAAAGGAGGAAAAGTTTATTTGAGGGATTGTGGTTTCAGAGGTTTTAGTCTATAGAAGGCCAGCTCCATTCCTCAGGGCTCGAGATGAAGCAGAACATCATGGAGGAAAAGTGTGGCAGAGGGAAGCTGGTTCACATGATGATCAGATACACACACACACACTCACACACACAAATATATATATCCCCAAAGCCATGCCCTACATGAACCACTTCCTCCAGCCACAGCCCATCTACCCACAGCCTAGCCACCACTCAGTTAATCCAATCAGGAATTAATTCACTGATTAAGTTAAAGATATAGCCCAATCGTTTCTCCTCCAGACCTCCTTGCATTGTCTCACTTGTGAGGTTTTGGGGGACACCACATCTAAACCATAACACAGATATATAAATAGATAGATAGTTAAGATAGATATGGCTTTGTACAAGTTCTGGGATTGCATTATATTTGGATCTGGAAGTGTTGCATGTCAAACACTTCCAAGGGACATAAGAGTCCTGAGTTACTGTGTAAAAGAGGCATCTAGTGGAAATCTTCTTTTTACAGATTCAAGTCCTAATTGCTTGTCTCATCCCATTTTCCTCAGTTGCCCTGGACACTAGCTTTGTGTTTTTGTTTTCCTAAGTTTTTTATTACATAAATATGTACATAATTGTACATATTTATAGGGCACGATGTAATGTTTCAATATTGGTATATATTGTCTAATAATCAAGTCAGGATAATAAGCGTATTTATTGCCTTTTTAAACATTTATCATTGCTTTGTGGCGAAAACATTCAAAATCCTCTCTTCTAGTTATTTTGAAATATATAGTCAATATATTATTGGTAACTTTGGCCTCCCTACTGTGTGTCAATTAGGAGGACTAAGTTCTGACTTCTTTTTTTCTTTTTTTGATTCTCCCTTTTTGTTGTTTTGTCCCCCTCAGTTTTACATGTATTTGACTTGGTAGCTACATGCTGAATTCTCTGCAGTAGTGCTATTTCTGTATTCATAGGGCATCTGGACTACCTTGGTATCTTCAGTTCTAGACTGACTTGAGACTTTCCTACTGGGATCCTTTGTGATTGGAGCATGGGAGGAAACTGAGGAGGTTTTACTAGAGTGGAATTCCATGGAGCTAATGAAACTTCAGCTTAGTGTTACATGTTCACATGAGACCTTATAAGATCTTGGGAATTGTACAATGTTCTATTCTAGATGGAGAGTGGAAACCAGGTTGCATTTAGGAAGCATTCCTGTTATTCAAGAGATCTTAGATAACTTGAATCTTTAAAGTTCTGGCACTTAATGGTGATTTTTTTTCATATTCTAAATAAATACAGGTGTTCCCTTCTTAAGAGACTTAAAGTAGTTCCACTTTATAGTGATGGGAAAGCAATACACAATCCATAGAAACGACTTCGGATTTTGGAATTTCATCTTTTCCCTGACTAGTTGTCTATGGTCTCTTGTTATGTTGGGCAGCCACAGCAAGCCCCTGTTCCCAGTTAACCATGCATTATGAAGACAACCACTACCCTAGAGAATTGCTAAGCTATTGTGGTTGGTAGGTTAGGTATGTGAAACACATTTTTCACTGATGATATTTTCAATTTTCTGGAGTTGCAATCTGATTATAGTCAAGAAGCATCTATATTGATGACTATATTTAATTTTGCATTCACAATTTTGAGTTTCTATTTGAATAGAGAACCGTTCAAAATGTATATGCTTCAAGCCACACAAAATCTGGTTCTACCACTGGATTTTATTAATAAATGAGATTCTGGTATATTTCTTTACATTTAGTAAAACATAATTTCTACAAGTAACAAACTCTTACGTAGAATCTGGAAAAGCCCCAAATCATTCTAAAATCAATGCTTTTGGTGGCTCTTTTATAAGATAACTGGAACTTCTTGGTAGTTAATATATTTCAATATTAGTATTAGTGAGTACCATAAAACTGAAACTCACATATCAAATTTAGTTAAGTCCAATTCCAATCAACAAGCCTTTATGGAAAGCTCACTATGTGTGACAAAGGTGTTGGACTAGGTTCTTTTCTCAAATAGATTAAATTCATTTTAAGAGTAATTGGAAATGAATTGCCTTAACAATTTTTTAATAGGTCTCTGAAATAAAAACTTGAGGATAACATGATAAATATGGTTAAATGCCAAGGAAAAACAGTGATAAATTGTTGGCACCAGTTATCTGGTATTCTCTGAAACAAACCTGTTAGTCTGCTTACTGAGAATAAAAAATTAAAAGTGTTTTTTATCCTTTTTTTTTTCAGTGCTGGGGATACAACCTAGGGCCTCACCCCAGCCCATCCTTTATTTTTTCTTGGAGATAGTTTTATAGATGGTGCTTATAGGTAACCTTGGGGTAATCGTTTTTCAAACCAAAGAACCCTATATTGGATATTAGCCAAATGATGTTCATCGCATCATCATTCTCTTAAAATATGGCATTTTATTAGTATCAAGTGCATACATTTGTGAAATAGCATAGGATTACTAAAAGACAAATCAATATGTAGTGTCAGATACTGGTAAATATTTGAAGAAAAGCAATGTCAGGGAAGGAGAGAAATCAGTGATAATGGGGGTGCTATTTTAGAAAGACTGAGCTGGTTTTCTCATTATTCCTTGTATGTGCCTATCACTTGCTGGGGCTCCTGGCTGGAATACTTTTCTTTAGCTGTCTGCATCACTTGCTTTATCACTTCATTTGTAGCTCTGGCCACCCTTTCTACAGTAGCACCCGCCACCATCTATCCTTTCTCCCTACTGTACAAGTTTTCTTAATCATCTGACCTTGGGAATCAAAGAGAGTCAAAGAAATTTTTTGATAAATTCTTTGCTATCTGAACTCTTATCACTTTATATCTGAAATTCAAGAATTGAAGAGCTTTTTAGAACTTTTCTTATTTGATCTGGATATCCAAAACAGGAGCCAAATAACTATATAGTGAGAGATGCTTGTAGTTTTCTTCATAACACATATTGCTCTGATTTGTCTGTCTTCAGGTCTCCCTTAATAAAATATCAGTAGCTAGAATGTTGTTTTATTCATTGCTCTATCCCCATCACCTGGAACAATGGCTGGCACCTAATGGATTCTCAATAAATATGTGTTGAATAGGTATATTAATATGTGAATGAATCTATTGATCTAATCTCATTCAAGCTTTTTATCAAAAAAATTATTATGTGGGAAAGGCATGTTACACATTGAATTTTACGAAACAGAATATGGAATTACCTACATAGTTACCATTTAGATTAAAAAAAAAAAAATCTCAAACCTTTGTATGTGTTTATTTGTTCATTCATTCCGTAGGGAGAAAAAACTTAGTAATTATCTCCTATGTGTCCATTCCTTTCTAAAGTATTCTAACTCAGTTTAGTTTTATAGGAAGATACAAAATCTTTCAAGTTCTGAAAAGTAGGTACTATGATACCATTTAATTATGAATACTTAACTCAATATATACAAGGTACTTAACCATTTCTTTGACAAGTAAATGAGTGGCTAGGTAAAGTATACAGTAGGAACGCTGTATCTAATCTAGTGGGAGATTTCCCTAAGGAAGTGAATTTTAAACTAGGATCTGAAGAATGAGGAGGAATTACTCAAAAACACAAGACAGAGTGTTTTAGAGCTTAAACTCAGACTTTATCCTAAACGCTGGAAAAGAATTTTAAGCAAAAAAGCACAACTAGTCTTGCATCTTTTATGTGGTCTGTTTTTCAATGTTGCTAGGGACAGACTGGAAGGGCAATACTGGAGCAAAGACAATGGCTGGGAGGCTTTAATAATAATAGGTGGTAGTGACCTCCCTTGGCTCCTTGGCGGTGGAGGAAGAGAAATTCATTTGAGAGATTTTAGCAGGCAGAATAACTGACTGGGGTAAAGAAGGAAAAGGAAGCATTAAGTATGATTTCAAGATACTACTTGAGGCAACTGAGAGGATCCTAGGACCTTTCAGAAGACTGGAAACTCAGGGAAGAACTATCTGAAAAGAAAAGAGCACAAGATATCCTTGAGAACTAACTAGATTGAGTCTGAGCATTATAGACTTATATAATTGCTAAATTTCTTTTTAAAAAATGTTTGGAAAGAAAGAATCAATGTTAATAGTATTGGGATGGTAGTTATATTTAATTTTTTTCTTATTATTAAATTTTGGTTTTCATTATTAGTATGTCTTATTTTGTGAAGGAAAAATAATAAATTTAGAAAATTTATGTTTGCATAGGAAGTGCTATGCCAGCAAACAACAACAGTAAAACCCCAAGGGCAAAAAGCTAAGACCTTTTAGATAAAATGTTGGATTATACCCAGTGAAATTAAATGATTTGTCCTGATTAGGAGATAATTGTAAAATGGGGTTGCCATTAGTATCTGGAAATTTAAGCGTGTCATTCAAGGATCTACCAGAGGCAGTGGCTGTCATGTATGCATCTTTGACCTTATCCCTTGGTGCCTGGCACCTAGTAAGGTCTCAAGTGACAGCTGTTATTTTAGATTTGTTATTAGCACATTCATTTTGTTTATACTCATTATTTTCACTAGAATGGATATACAATGATGTTATTTATGTCATTTTGATTTTTAGGTAGATTGGGGTCAACTGGACTATTTAGTTGTTGACATGCCACCAGGAACGGGAGATGTACAGTTATCAGTTTCACAGAATATTCCCATTTCAGGTAAATCTAAATCTTAAAAGGTTAAAGTAATTTATGCTTTCTTTGATGTGTTGATGTTGCCATAGAGAAAAACAAACTGTGAGACAGCCAAACATTTTTATGTCTTAAAAAAGAACTTATAAATTTTCCCTTAGAGATCTAAAGCATAAATTGAGTTTTCCAGATTATCAGAATGAGCATATTTAAAAAAAAAACATAAAGACACTTTGAAAGGTGGTGATATAATTCTATGTTCCAGAAATGTAGGCACTTAAGTATATTAAAGTATAAAATGTACAAACTTCACTGGTTGATAGCAGTCTAATAACTTACAGCACTGGTGTACATGGTAGGCACTTGGTAAATATTTATTGAGCAAGTATGGAATGAGAGAAAATATTAGGAAATTTGTCTGTTTTGTAAATACAACTATAAGAAAATTTTATATTCTGCTACTTATTTAAAGTCAAAAGAGCAATTAACAAAGTAATTTATCAAATACAAATTATTTATATATTGTAGTGGATTTTTTATTATGTGGAATTGAAGTATTAGTTAGTAGTTACCTTTTGTATGAACCTGTTTCTAAAGATTTCCCCAAATTTCACAAAGATGTAGTTGCATATATAAATGAACTCACGGAAAAATAGTTAAAATGTCTTCACCAGTTATTTACTGATTCTCGAAGTCATTTCATTGACATTTAATTACTAAAAGCATGTAATTTAAGTTTTTGACAAGATACACTTTTATTTTAAAATATCAGTATAACCTCATTAATATGGATATTTTGAATGTTTTAATACTTTGGTAACCTTAATGGAATCTGAGATGTTTTCTTTAGTGAGACAGGTTATTAAGTATGAGATGGGAGTAAACTGATGTGAAAATAATTCATCCTTTTTGTAATCACTGGATGGTGCAAAAGCTCTATCTAAATGTATCATTTTTTAGAAACTACTTGAACACTTTAAAACAGCTTTTCAGGGAGGGGTAGCGAAATGTCATCAGTTAGGAGTCTTGGTGTCATTGCATTTCTAGAAGCCATGATGAGAATGAAATTTTTTATATTTGGAAAAAGACATTCTTTTAGAAAATGTATACAGGCAGACCTGTATCAAAAAGATCCTCTTTGTGAATGCTAATTAGCAGCTCTTTATATGTGTTCTATTTTGTTCCATGGGTTGGATGACAGGCTCATTATAAGAAGAAATTTTGAAGAAAAAATAATAATTCCTTACTTGTGTTAAAAATATTGTATCACAACAATAAAGGTAAATGTGTTGACAGTAATATTAGTGGCTAATAGATTTAAGTTTGAGTTTACATAGACTATTGAATCGTTACATATTACAAGTATAGACCAGAATGATACCTAGTGGTTGCAGTAATTGCTGAAGGGAAAGGAATTAGGTTAAAGGATGAGAAATGACCAATTATAATTATAGTCTTTAGATTTGCTCTTATCTTATTGAACTTGCCAAGAGGAGAAGGCAGCGTTTTGGTTTTGTTTTTTTTATGGCTGGCTTTATTATTTTTCTACTTTTTTTTTCTTTTTTGTTTAATTACACAGTTTACTAGCTTTTTGCTTATTTGTTTGTTTATTAGTTGTTGCCTATTTTATATTGGACAGATTCCAAGACTGACTTCTGGAAGTATGTCTTAAATGCATGCTTATATACTCTTAGGAATCATTGATCACTCAGTTGCTTTTCCGTAATAAAAATGATTAATATTCTTCAAGAAGTATTATAATTTCCTTGAAAATTTTGAAAATACATGGACTATTTTAGTATTCAAATTCTAATAGATATTACCTAAAATATTTTTTTTCTTTATTCAACTGAAGTCCTCTGAATTACTGTCTAAAGACTGTCTTAGTTTCATTTTAACTATTGGAATTAAGTGAAGATTAATTTTACTAAGAATTGAAGTTTCAGTAATTTACTTATATTAAAGTACATATTAGTCAAGGTCCTAGCAGGAAAAAAGAATTCATTTAATGAAGGGATTAGTTGCAGAGGTGTGGGCAGCATTAAGAAAACCATCAAGAGATGGTGAAGTACCCAGGGACTAGTGACAGTAGGAAGTTGTTACTGCCCCCTGACACACACACACACACACACACACACACACACACACACACACCTAAAGAGGCAAAGGATTGAACTGTGTTAGTGGAAGCTGGAGATTTCTTGGAACCCTGGAAAAGGGCTGTCTGATGGAAGCTATGGCCATTCTCAGAACTATAGCAAGGTTGGAGAGAGTAGCATGCAAGGTAGGTAATAATACTTCACCTTTTTTCCCTCCCACATTCTCTTTTTTCTGCTACTGGTACCTCTTGGTGGCAGATCCCCATTTAGAGCCAGAAGACAAGGAAACTCGGTGATACAATCCACAGAGGTCAGCTACCAGGGCACTCACTGGTCAAGAGACAGAGGGATGGAAAAATGAACCTGGGCAGAGCCTGAAGAGGGAAAAGAAGGAAGAGTACATCCAGTGGAATTACTAACATAGCTTCTCATCTTCATGGTCATCATTTCATTATAAATTAGTGACTGTGACAGATGAAATACAAAGCCAGGGGACAAGATTCCTGCCCTCTAGAAGTTTGCAAGCTAATATAGACAGTACTGCACAATAATACACTCAAATTGGTAGAAAATCGATATTATCGTGAGACAATATTATACTGTCATTAAACATAAAGAGAATATATACACTGTAGGTGAGCAGTGATGCAAATATATTTTGTGTAGTGAGAAGTAATAGATGAAATAGTTGTTTTTGATAGGATAAAATTAGGGGGAAAATGTTCTTTATAAGTAAAGATTGATACAGAAATGAAACATTTGGAAATTTTTCTTATAAGAGAAGGGACAGAGACTGAGCAGCCAAGAGGGGAGCCATTATGGTCCCTGGTTTGTTCTTTCTTTTTCTTCCAGCAAATGGCAAAAGTGATATAGAAAACAGCCAGGCAGTTCTTAATGTTCTAATAGTCCACAGTGTGGGTCCTATTTTGATTTCTTATCTCCTGGAGAGGGAAAAGCTGCTGTGTATAGCAAAGTATTCAGCTAATTAATATGCTGAATATCTATGGGCTCCAGAAAAGCTGCCCTAACATCTGGTGTTATATTATGATAATGAGGTGATGTCCTTTCTTCCCTAAGACCTTTCCTGTCTAGGTCCTGTTGATAGAAGGAAAGCCAGAGGCCCTTTTTCTACTTTCTCATTTAAATGAGATGGGATAGGAATTTTAAATTAAGCTACTGTAATATTTCAGTCATTGCTTAAAATGAAAGACTTTTCTGGCTTGTGAAAAGTGTTGGACCTATTGCCACACTGATTGAACTACTCATCAAAAATTCTTGAGGAAAAAACCCACGCATGTTCACCCTGGTATTTTGCTCTCCATCAGTAATTTACCTGGCTTAATCAATTGTCTGTTCTATGATGACACTCTTTGTGAATTTGGACAGTGGTTTTGTGATGTGAAAACCTACCCTCATGAGGGATTGAGAGATCAGAAACTTATTGGTGATGTGATAAATACGTGAATGGCCAAAGGCCTCTGCTTGAAATAGTTCCTTGATTGTAATTTACTCTTTCAAAGCAAAAGGAACAATACTGTTTGCATTGAATTTTATTGCTATATTTTCCTTACAATTTTACAATTTGTAATGAACCCATACTATAAAGCTAGAAATATGCTTGAATCTTAAAAGTAGAAGACTTAAGGGGCTGAGGTTGTGGCACAGCAGTAGAGTGCTCACCTAGCACATGGGAGGCACTGGGTTTGATCTTCAGCACCACATTAAAAATACATAAGTAAAATAAAAGTATTATGTACCTCTATAATTAAAAAAATATTTTTTTAAAGTAGAAGATTAAATTATAGATTTTCCTAGTGTTTTGGGATAGTAAATCTTCATTTATGTTTTCAGTTCCCAGATTGGAACATTAAAGGAGATAGTCTTTTGGACTTCTTTCAGGCACACTGTCTTTCCATTGCAAATGTTGGATGCAATTATAATTAATGGATACTTGGCAAGAACTTCATGATGTAGACAGAGTTATTGTTTTATTTATCAAATTTTAAAAATTCTTTTCAAAATAAATTTGCTTTGTTGTTACACAATTATACCAACTGTTAGAAAGACTAGCAACTGTATTCCACAATTTTATCTTTTAGGTCATTCCTGGTATTTCATTCTGAAACTTTAGTCCTTGTTAGAATTGGAATAAACTTTATAAAATTAAATATAACATCATTGGCTAATAAATAATATATTTCTAATCTGCAGTTAAAAAGAAATAAACTCTTCAGGGCTCCTGTATTTGGCTGAACATTCTTTACAAGTAGACATTACAGTACAATTCAAAGAAGTAGCCTGAGAATTAATAATTTCTGAACTATGACACAAAAAGGCCCAGACTTTATAAGCATCCCCTCCTGATTTCTATATTTAGCTTTGAGAATTTCTTATCTAAGCCAACCATCATTTGAATTCCTTGAATTCCTACCAGGTGGTCCTCTATCCTGTGTTTAGATAGTGTCTGAGATCATTCAGTTTTGCTGAATTTCTGAGCATTTCCTTCATGACAAGCTAGATAGCTAAAATTCCTTAAAGGTCTTAAAGTTCAGTGAATAATATAATGGCCAATGTGTCATTGGGTTCATTTTAAAAGCTACTTTTAAATCCATCAAATATTGGAAAAAGTAAAGTCCCAAATGTAGATGTTAGAAATTTATCAGGATCTGAAGCATAGCTTGAAGAATGTCTTCACATCTTAAGTATAACGTATTTGGATATTGACTAAGATCTTCCCATATAGAGTCTCAGTCTCTTTTCCTCTCTTTTATGAAATGTACCTGGTTATATAAAGCCCAGTGTAAATGAAGTAGCAGTTCTCTCTGGATCTTTTAGCAAAAAAAAAAAAAAAAAAGGTTATAAAAAGGAATATGTTGAGCCGGGCATGATGGAGCATGCCTGTAATCCCAGCTACAAGGGAGGCTGTTG